GATTCAGAAATATTTTTCATATTACAGTATACCGTTAAGTAATGGTAACTATCGGTAAATATGAAGATTAAGCACTTCACCTATTGTTCATTATTGTTATTAGACATAACTAAGAATGCCATTAATAGATTTTTTTAGATATATTTTTTCCCTACTACCATTGCGGTTTTATCAGAGCTTCTCGTCTTATGGCCCTAAGCTTCTTCTACTATCCTCTTTCTCTTTTTGCGGTTCCATCGACCGACTTTTTCAACTGCATCCATTTGGCTTATATTGGGAGAAACCGTGGAAAATCTTAGTTATGCAGCCGGCCAGTGTTCTGTAGTCACACTGATTAAATACTCAGTGAATAATAAAGAAAAGTATTAACTATCAAGTAAAAACTAGGGAAGTGTTCTTTGTGATTTTCTAAACAAATAATTAGGATGAAACGTTACTATACTGAGTAAACGTCGTTCCATATGACATTTATATTTGTTTTCTGAAAACAATAACAATTGTCGCTCATGTCATAAAAATTAAAAAAAAGAGGTTTGTTCCATGGGGGTAAACGGTAAAGGCCTCTGCTGTTTCACCAAAATGGCCCTACCATCTCACATTTTGTCCTGATCGGGCAGGCATCTCCGATTTCACCAAGAGAAACAAAGTCCTTGTCACTTCTTAGTATTCTGACGTGTTCTTATCCCTGCCGTTATTACCTTTGCTTTAACTAGACTCCAACTTGTACTCGCAAATATGATTTCACATGTCTAAGTCTAAATTATACCCAACCGAAATATGAATTCGAAATACGATACACCTGTAGTATCGAGAATTCCGCAGCATGGATTATCTCGGGGATATTAATTATTAGCATAGCTTGGGTTTACTGTAAGGTAGAATCAATATTTACGGTTTAAATTTTGTACCTTAGATCAGAGGTGGGCAACCTCAGGTAGGCTCGGAGCTGTAGCCATAAAATTATTGAGGTTTTAATTATAAGGGACGTAACGTGATTACAAGGATTGTCGTATATTTAAGTGTTGGGGGTAACATCGAGCGATAGCGCATGCCCGTGATTGAAATGTGAGGGCACAATGGTTTGAATTTTTATGCACGTGTTTGTACATATTCTTTTTAGTTTTAAAAAATGGAATTAAGAGATTATGGTTTGGATTCAATATTCATTGGAAATGAAAGTGGGATGCTCGTGAACTTGAGAAAGAAATATTTCATCGTCAATTAAAGATTAAAGGATGCTGATAATTTTTTTGATTATGAGAAATTTATGAATTTTAATTTGGCATCGAGAGCGGGAAATACAGAAATCAAAAGTTTGAAAATTAATGTCAAGTCAGGTTTTATTAACAACATGATAGTATTTAATAACTGTTTTCCAAGAAAAATATTTCCACTTCAAGAAATGTATTAAAGGTACAAAATTTTCCATTATATAATCGATTAAAAGCAACTAATAACCAGTCAAAAGCATATAACAACAAAAAAAGCAATAATACAAAAAATATTTCTATTAGAGAAATAGAAAATTTTTCTATTTCACTTTTTCTACCACCAAGTTTCTGCCGAATATCCCCACTACTCTTACCTACGCGCAGGGCATTATGGGCCCGAAGGGGGTACAGCCATAAACTTTATGACTTGGCACAATTGGGCCTAATGGAGGTCGGGAGCTGGAGTAGCTCCGAGAGCTGAGGTTGCCCACCTCTGCCTTAGATTAACGATGGGTCCTAAGAGCAGGATGTTGTAAAATGTGTCTGAGGGTCTAAACGCTATTGATGGGAATCGCGCTAGGCGACGTGACTAGGGAAATACCCCAAGTTTGGGGAAACGGGCCACGTAGGTGTTAGTTCTCTCACGTGGCAAGAGCGGGTGGAGGTCCCACGGGCTCCTGATAAAAAGAGGCGCTAGCGAGACCCTGGGACGGGGATTGGCCTTAAAGCCACGTAGCCAGGGTAGAGTGAGTTCAGAGTCCAGAGTAGAGTTAATTGAGGCTCCAAAGTGATGCAAGTATAGGCATGCACAGCTTAGAGTCAAGCGTGATCAGATGAGAGGCTGCGCCGCAGCGAATTTAGATTGTCAGAACTAGATGTATGAACTATATGTATTCACTAAGAGTATTAATTAAGTGTAAATAAATAAAACAGTGTTAGTTCCATGAAATTATTCATTTGATTTTCTTTCAAAAAATATCTCCACACACGTGAGCCAAAGACTTTGATTATTATGTAAAGTGATCGAGCATTATTACAACTATGTTTCACGCGTCAATACCAAGTAAATTGAGTGCATCATAACGGGTCCGTGTAGACGGTATAGTATTTACAACATTGTATATGTACAGTGCCTTTTCATGCTTTCATACTTCAGTAACGCTCATGAGCATCACGGCGAAATCTCATGTTGGTGTAATGTCAACAGAGTTCAATAGGGTCATATATCTCCAATTATTTTCGACAAATTTCTAGTCCCAGATCCTTCCATCGAAATAAAAAATTAGATGGTACAATAGAATAGTGAGAAAATTTATTTTCTCATATTATGAATAAAAAAAATAATTTTTCATTGTAACGTTGCAACATTAGCACAATTGAAAATTTAATATAAAATCGGAAATGAAATTTCCAGGAATATTGGGGCAGGCTCTTTTTTTGACAAGAAGATTTTAAAATATTTTTTAAGATCCCACCCAGCGTGATTGGGTCAAAATCTGCCAGGGCTCAAGAAAATACTTGGTTTGTCAATTATTTATAGTCGGGCGCGAGGCAATGCTGATGAGGTTGACTACTCAGTATTTTGAATAATTTTACCAGAATATTAGACTCGATCAGGGTTTATTTGACTTTAGTGACCGGAAACAAAGTAGATATATAGATTCATAGACCAAGGAGAGAGAATATGGAGAACCACGGGCTATCACTTTTTCAGCCTCGGGAACTACTATTCTAAACTCAATTGACAAATTATATACAACACAGGAGTTCGAATGACAAAAAAAAATATTTTAACGTAATGAGTAATGGGCAATCGCCGTACAATATACATATATTTGGATGACAGAGAATTTATGATATGATCACCCGGCATGTGAGTGACGTAATTTTTTCACGCCAGGCACTTGTTGAGTGCGGCCCGGATGCTGCGCAACCCCGTTGACAAATTTTCGTTAAGGGCCCTCTCATTGGCTTGGTCCTCTCGGTTCCCGGTTTCATTTTCCCTAGTTGATAATTTTACAGTTGACAATGACTGATTCCTCACGAATTCCCAAGACTGGCGTTGGAGAATTTTATATTCGCGTCACCATATGTTCCTTAGTAAACAGTGGAGACTTTTCATTTTTGAAATTTGGAATTCCAATACTTGGAAGGAAAATAATAATTGCCAACTAACACTTTTTCAATTTTATATTTAAAATTTGTAAGTTTTAGAGGATTAGAGAATTAGAGGATCAGAGAATTATCCCGATCCGTGAAATAGGTTGGCTCCCGACTACCTACCTGTGGCCGAGCCCTTTTATACGGTGCACTTCCACCCACACATACTTTAGCGATGTTGTTCAAGAGAAACGTAAAGTTTTTTTTTCTGTGAAAATTATTTTCCCAACTTCAAATTAAAAAATATCCACGATTTGGGCCAGTGTTGAGATAAACGATATGTGCGAATTCTCGTATTTCGTCTCCGCATAAAATGACCTTTTGAAATGCCTTGATAACCAAACAGTCAATCGAATGCATTTTTCATTTTTTTTGCAGTACCAGTCGGCGGTAATGATAGAAATGAGTCCGCCGTTATATCGCGAATAGGGAAATGACCGAAACAGGAAAAAATCGTGTCACTCAAGCTATAAAATTATTAACGGTGGTCAGCTATAGGTAACGGTATGTTTGGCCTAGGAACACAGAAATATATTTTGCATCATACACTTGATTTTTTCGCATAAGTATCAAGTAAAAATCTCACTTGAGAGGAACACCGTTGGTGAGGTAAGGTCATCTCTTTTAAAAAACTTCCGCACAAGGATAAATCCTACAGATTAAAATCAGGCAGAAAATCCTCGTACCAACGGAGTTCGAACTGACCACCCTCTGCACGCCTTTGATGTTGGTCGCCTACTACTGAATATTTTCCATATTCCACACACGCACAATAACTTTTATAGTACAACTTTTTTACTTTGTTTAGCTCCTCCTCGTCTGGTCCTTCGTTTCTTGCCAGATGGTGCCTCCTCGATGTCAATATTTGCTTGGGTAGGATCATCGAGGACAAGATCCTCCCCCTATTCTCTTGCGTTTTGTGCCCAAATTTAAATAATGAAATTATCATCACCGATGTCGTACGGTCACGCATTAATTGATGTCAAGATCGAGTCATAGCACAATCAAATGAGATATTTCGTCGGGTACTGCATCTTCTGAAATAACAGCAGCCGCAGGCTCAGTACGTCATTGTATGTCTGAATTGTCATCAAACTGTGCAGTCTGTGGCATCTAGAGGCTTTGCATTATTGGCATATTCTGCATAACGTCCAAGTTCGGCAATATGACGATGACGCCGCCGATCTTGAAGGCTCCTTACCAAAATACCATATTAGCATGAACAAAGACTGAGTGTCTGTTGTTCAGGACGATATATAGCCCGAAATAGCAAAGGCAAAGTGGGGGTAGTACCGAAATGTCGACGTACGGGAGACGTGTACGAATCGTGTGGGTAATGTAGGAACCGCTACAATGGCATATTCACTCAAATATATTAGGATCAAGTATACAATACTCGTCGAGCAAATATTGTTTGAATTTTAGGTGCGATCGTCTTCCTCACCATCACTTACTTGAGAATTCGAGTTTGCAAGTTAGAACATCTTCTGAAGTTTTTCATGGAGAGATCTGAACTGATCACTGCATCTTCTAGATCTTGGGGATTCCTCAACGATATTGATTCAAGATGCAAACTGAAAATAAGTAAGTATACGATTCTACATTTTAGTTAATATTATTCAAATAATCTTACATCAGAATTTCAAACATTCCACACGCGTGGTTAATGAGAGTTGCAAATAAGTTATCAAAGAAAACTATGTAGCCTATTCCAATAGTCACCGCCAGATAGGAGTGAAAAAGTAGTTGTACATAATATTTGTCTTGATCGATAAAGAATTCTGTTTGATAAAGAAATATTCTTGGACGAGACTCGTTCATTGGTCGTAGTAAATCCAAAATTTTCGGAACCGCTGGTGTAGAAAAGTAAATCAGACTAACCCCAAACATGATTCCTACAAAAGAATCAGAACGAAAAAGTATTGATACAAACACCGCCAACTTCTTCATCAAATTTATGACTCGGCAGAAAATGAATGAAATCTTCATACTTGCATAATATATATTCAAACGTCGTGCTCGTTCTGACCACTGATGCAGCACTTTGACATCGCATTCTAAATTCAAACTCTCCCAATCCCTCTCAATAGATACAAATAAATCTTTCAGCTGAAAAAATCCCAAATTAATTATTTTCATTCCATCTAATTTACAAAAAAAGAATCAAGATACTTACACGGTCCTCCATTATTACCCAGTTAAAAAATTTAGCTTGGGCTATTACATGCCATCCGATAATAGGTATGCATTCGATTACAATGTCCCAATCGTGTAAAGATTCAATTAGTTTAAGTATCTATTTTGAAATAACAATTTATTACTGAGACTAAAGCAACTGATTGGATCCTGGAAATTTATAAATGCTCCAACAAACAAGGGGAAATACGATTCTTATTTCATTTAGGGTTTTTTTATTTGTAATTTGTAAAATATTGGTAATTACGTTATTTTCCTATATTGGTAACAATATTTGCACACTTACTTTTGGAACCAGCAGAGTGAAGACGATAAAATCTGTTAACCACCTCAAAATTCTCCGTTTCTCTGCCGATTGAAAGGGCCAATGGCCGATACATTCTAAGCCGCGTTTGGTAACTTCATAGTACGAGCAATCAAAAATGTTGGACATGATCACTGGATAGCGCAACTAAGTCTCCAGCACTGTAAAGAAAAGGAAGCATCGACTGCGAACTTCAAAGCATATCATTTCTTTGAAGTACCGGTTATGAATTCAGACCTTCAAGGTGAATAAAAAGTGGCTTTATTGCCGTTATTACGAACTGAATATTTGATAAGCGTTGAATGTTTCCCACTCCCCATCAATGGTGAAACATGAAGCAGCAAGATAGCATGCTAATATGGACGTCGATTATGTCACTAATAATGAATGGGAAAGTACGAAAATCGAGACCGCCTGATGTTAATAATTGGATTGCCCTATCGTAACAATATTTACCGTTATCTATAACCTGGAAACTTGTTCAGTTCAGTTATAACTTTGGTGAGTTAGCTCTACCCTCAGAAGTAGGTCAGGCTTCTCTGAGTTGAAGAGTAAAGTTTGTCTATCTCCTCCGCTTTTTAACGGGCTAGTGCCAATTAATGGATGTGACATAGTAAAGAACGGTCCAAAATTAATGTATTTTCAAGCCTTTTCAGTGGGGTGTCTTACGTGAGTAGTAAGCCCACCAGTGCTTTTCCGCACATGGCGCACATGCTACTTTTACTTCCCACCAGTAAATTTTGTAGCGTTGCCAATGTTTTTAGGAAAAATCGGACGTTATCAAAACAAACAAAAACCTATCTGTGTGCCAGTTGCTGGTTCTCCTCGGAAACAACATACCAGATTAAAACCAAAGCAGAACCAAATTCCTCAGAACCAAAACTCAACATGCAGATTAAAATCAGAGCCATCGGAGGAACGGTGGTAATTTCCTGCGCTGCTCAGGGGTGAGGTTGTGGAGAAAGGGATCGAAATGGGAACGAGATTCCGGACATCGGGAAACGTAAACTGAAAAAGAGGTGAAACAAAGCAGAGAGCTCCAGTGATTAAATTACGATATGAGATATATTTACAGACTCGGTACAAAACACTAAAAAGACAGAAAATGAAGAAGGAGAAACCGGAAAGCGGTATTCTCGGCGGTTCCGCAAAGATAAATAGAGGTGCCCCCTGCGCGACTTGATTAAATTCTATTGAACGAATTTCTTTCATTAGCTATTTTCGACCGTTGTTGGCTAGCATTTTGAAAGATATTAGGGATTAATAATAAATGTGAAAACATGAGGGATCTTGAACTTGTTGTTCAGCAAGTCCGAACAAATCCGACTTTGAAGAACATTGTAAAAGTAGCACAATAATCAACGAAAATTCGACCATGTGACAATAAGCCATACCTTGAATTTTCATCAGAAATTCCAAATCACCAACCTTTTGAAAGCCAAAGCCCTAATTCAAACCACGAATTCTAAATTAACAAAAATTAAGCGGCAGTCGCGGAAAAGCCGTATAACCTTACGGTTCTTTTTCTTGGAGAATTAATAAGAGTCATGTCTTTAAAAGTAACATTGATATTTTTGGTTACATGATACGTTTCATTATTTTACACTTGACCAGTCTTACAGGAGAGAAGATTTTATTTTTAATCTTTCTTTGAAACTACATAGAACCTTCAGGTAATAGTTTGGAATCCTGCCGAGTTATCGAATTAACTGTCCAATAACTATTATCCGTAGAGAAAAAACTGAAATCATTCTAAAAATTCAAATTCCTGCATTATTGACTTTTTTACCGGCTAATGTTATTTCCTCATATGGAAAATCACGATTTATTTTGAATAATTCTTTTTTTTTATTTTCTTCAATTAACAATGTTAGGTCGATCAATTTTATTCCTTGAATAAATAATTGCGGCACCACTGGAACATGACATTGTGGAATTCAATCCTCGCTTTTCAAACTGAAAAGACTTTTTTTTAGAGCTTACTTGTCATGTCAGCTTTCAAAAAAATAAAAACGTCATGGGAAGGAAAATTTCCAAATTTTCCACTGTGTACTCATTTCCCCACTTCTCCTTTTTTCAGCGACATTTTTCGTCTTTTCCTTTTCTTACGCGTGACCCTCATTTCGGTGGATTTCAACGGAGGAGGAGGGCCTTTAGGACCTGAGTCGTAAAGATCTATCACCCGATACAATAGGCTCTCCTCTATCCTTTGTCATGTATTGATAGACGTCGGGAGCACGACTTGTTTTCAGAGCAAAGGTTGCCCAGCCGTGGTCTAGTACATACTGATGTGGACCTAGCGCCACGTGCACCTAGCTTGCCGAACAATTAATTCTACTCTTGCGTGCCCAAGAAATTCAAATTTAAAATCCATGTCAGGATGGAACATGTTCATAGAAATTTAATCCCGGTTATTCCGCGGTATAGGGCTTAACGAAACGTTAACTTCTCCGAAAACTCAACCCTAAAACGTAAATAAATTTTTCCTCTCGCCAACCTGGCGATCCCCGCAAGGCGGTGCACCCAAAACCAAAAACGAATCCGCCTTAACCGGGAGTATTTTCAGGCTCGGTAACCCCCCTCACAAAAAAAAAGTAACGGGTATGCGAAGTCTTTCTCGTATGCCTTACACTTACTTACTCCTGAAGGGATTCCTGCGGAATTTCATACACCATCTATATAAGAGGCATTCTTCACGAAGACGATTGGGGTTACAATTTTTGAATCTGGATTGAGATAGGATTTTGATGGTTGATTGTGCGCAATAACAGGAGCATTCACCATTTTTTTCCAAATTTTTTTATTCTTAAAAATCCATAACTGCTTGAAAAATGGATCAAATGAGAATATTTTCACCCAGGTGGGGATTAACAATTGGTCCGAGCTTGGCCCAAGCTCGGACCAAGACTAACCTAGTTTGGCTCAAGCTTGGAATTCAAGATTGTACCAACGTTGGTTATTCCTCGGTTTGTAACGCTAGTTCAAGCTTGGACGTCGAATTCGATCCAAGGTTGAGCCAAGATGCTAAAATGAAGGTAGTCCAGGCCTGGGCCAAACTTGGACCAACCTCGATTCAAACTTGAACGTAAAATCCACGCCGAGCTTGGGATCCAGTCCTTAACCAATCCTTCAACTTATCTAACAATGATTGGTTAAAATAGAGGCAAAAATGAAATAATTCGTTTTTTATCCTAGATACAAGTCAATTTTGCCTCGAACGTGCCTCAACGTGCTCTATAAATGAGACGAGACGGACAAGGTTGAGCGCCAATCGGGTGCGTCCACAGGTGGCGGATAGAGGAACGGCCGACGGAGAAGTGGGGCAGGTTAAGGGCTGGAAACATAGAGGTATGGGACTGGCCCTCGCCTGCCCTGCCGAATTGACAGTTAGTGTGAGCTATAAGGGAACTGAAGGGCCTAAAAACCTGGAAGGAACCGAAGGCCGCGCCGCAGACCAACTTCCCAAGCCAAGGTGGAAGTGATTCGTGCCGAAAGCTGAATGGCACTGGGGTTACAGTGTTGCTAACGAGACCGTTGGGGCACCAGGCCGCACCCCACCGTACTTAGGCCTTACCCCAGCATCCCGGCTCTGCTGGGGCCGACCTTTACTTCCGAGGATACTCGTGGGAACTATATGAACCCTCCCATTAATATTAATTTCACCAACGCCAAGGACAGTGCCCTCACAGAGGGAACGTCTGAGGCTTTACAG